TCCCAAAAAGTACCATAGACTCATTTTTCCACAACGACTCAACGATGAAAACATTAAAATACCATACAAATGTAAAGTAATCTCTACAAAGGAAGCAACTTTTTAGTAATACTTACCCGATACACTTTTTCGTTTACTCCTGAGTGACTTGAGGTCGAATGACTGGAGTTTAGAGGATGACAGACGTGATCGACGACTTTTCATATCGTCTAACGGATAATGGAAAGAAATAATTTTAATTTTATTGCAAAAACATTGTCACAGAACAGAAGAACATTTGTACTTTAGTAAAATTACATTAAAATGACAAGAGAAGATCACTCTGGCTGAACCTCTTTTTTGTCTAAGTCAGCAATACAAATGTTTCTCAAATAACTTTCTATGCCAACGTTTTTGAAATTAGGTACATACCCATTTCGAAATGATTGTCACATCAAATAAGGAATGGAAATTGTAGAGAAGAGACGTATGAAGATGAATAGTTACATGAAGGCTGTATAGATGATGAGGGAGGGCGGGGGATTGAGTGAGGGAAGGACTAGAGCGAGGATTGGAAGAAGGGAGATGTATAGATAGTGGGATGGATAAATCGAGGGAATCGATTGATGAATAAAGATTTCTTGGTGGTATTTACCTTTATCTTCGAGTAGCAATTCAGGTGGTATTTCAAGTCCCTGTTCTTTCAGTTTTTTTATATGCTCTAGTCGTTCTTGCTCGACAACATGTTTCGAGTACAACCACGAATTGAGCTCATCATCAGGAGCTTCGGAGTAGAACACGGAGGCCGTGTCGATACTGAACAGACTGCAAGATTAAAGAGAGAGTAAGATATCTAACGAAAAAAGCGAGTATCTAAAGAGCTGAAATATGATGATTAGTCTACCTTGTTAAGTCTTCCATTCGTTTCCTTTCCCGTTCTTCTTTTTCTTTTTTCTTTCTTTCAGCGCTCAGTCTCGCTTGACGACGACGTTCGCTTGCTTCACGTTTTGCTTTATTTTCCGCTCGAAGTGACTTCAGCCTCTCGTCCAGGTGTTCAAGCAG